TGAATGCTTATACATGGCTTTCTAAAAGTCTTGACTGTGCTTAAACTATAAATAAGTGGGATTCTGCTTTTCTCAGTGAACAGTATCGTTTTTGAGATAACCTTGACCAAGTCACTCCTTTGCCTTCCGACAGCAGCCCTCCAGCCAGAGCCTTGAGGGACGCCTGCATTTACCTCCTGACCAGTCCTCTGTTGCAGATCTTTTGCTCCAAAACTGTTCACACCACTGCCAAATGGTCACCTTAAAAAAAAATCGAAGTTGACGGCCTGGGTTATATCCTACCCTGGCTTTAGTTTCACACCTCTCAGCAGAGGGGCGCAGATGAAGTCCCGCGTGAATGCCTGCTGTTAACAGGAAACCAGTAGAGTCAAGGACCCCAAGGCCTCAGCCCTGTAGGAATGGCAACGCTGCCCCCAGCCCCACGCACCAAAGTTGTAACGGTGGGGCGAACACGGAAGGCTAGATGATGACGCGGCCCCTGGGAGTACAGAAGGCAGACACAGATCCTTTCGGGTTGCGTTTCTGGATCTGAGAGTCCCAGTGGTGGAAAGCGGTGACAAGCAGTGTAGACTCCAAGTGAAGTGGGAATCCTGGGAAACGGGCTCCCGAAAACCTTCATGTCTGCAGGATCCCAGTCTGGACCCATAGCTAGAGGGGTCGCCTGACGTTTCTCAGCCCACCAAGAAGGGGTTCAGGCAGCTGGGCTCAGTCATACCACACACCTTCCTGCTGAACCCCCAGCTTAGGCCCAGACCTGCTCCTGCATAAGAACATCTGAGGGCCATGAAGCTGTAGCCATTACTAAAGGTCAGAGTTCAGGCTGCCAGTAATGAGCCATTAAGGAGAGTCAGCAGAGACCAGCTTTTAAAGCAGCGGGATCCATATAGCAGGGTTATTCTGGATGCTCCTTTGTGGGAGATGATTGTTTTCAACTTGCCTGTGGAGGAGAGATATATAACCTAATAGTGCTAGTAAAAATTTTAAGAAACGGTTTCTTCACCACCTGCCCTTGCCTTTAGCACGCAGCACCCTGACTCTATCCCCAAACTGCTTGGTGACAATTCCACTTGTCAATCAGTCAGTCCTGGTTTCAGAAGGGAGCTGCACCTCTGCATAAGCCACTCTCCACAGACAATCTCTCTGCCTTTGGGACTTTGGAGAGGCCTTTGTGTTTATGGCTTGTTTCCCAACTCCCGGCTGACATCACAGCTGCAGCTACTGCTTGTCACTGTGATTGTGCTAGCGCCCACAGCTTTCTAAGAAGTGTACAAACAACACACACATAAACATGCTGGGGCTAGTCTGGAAATGAAGCTTTTTAAAATCCTGGAATGCGTGACTGTTTCTAACTAGGAAACAGGCATGAGCAGAAAGGGTCGCCGAGTGGCGGGACTGCTCCATGTTAGAGCTGCCGCTCGGCTGCACCCACTCTTGAAAATTGGAAAGGGAGCCCCAGGGAATGCCGGGAGAAGCCATGGCAGTAGGAACTGTTGGGGGAACGTAGATAGAAGAGCCACAGCGTGCATGTGTGCGCATGTGCTGCAAACCTGCTAGCTCACTTGAGTTAGAGGGGAGTCAACTGCATTGGTAAGGTTGCCCCACCATAGTGGTGCAGGCACTGCTGCGATGAACACCTCCTGCTCTCAGCTTAAGGACCCCTACAAAGCCTCCAAGAGTTCAGGAAGTTCTAAAGGTGGGGTTATTAAGACAGACAGTAAACAACTCAGAAGTCTCAGAAGTTCCTGAAACATACCAGATTCACAAGGCTTCTCCCTCCCCAAGGTTATAAAAGCAATAAAGACTGGGAAGGAGGGAGACTCTCTGACCTTAGGTGCTGGGAGGAGAGAGACTCTCTGACTTAAGATGCTGCAGGCAAGTCGTGCAGAAAGCTCCAAGATTTCAGCTTTGGTGAGTTGTCACTAAGGCTGGGGTGGGATTTTTATGACATAACTGCCCTTGAGTAATCCATTTCTGTAAGTAATCCTGTGTCCATACCACCGTTAAGAAACCCTAGGAAGTCAGGCAGTGGTGGTGCTCTGGAGGCAGGGGCAGGGGGAGCTTTGAGTTTGAAGCCAGCCTGGTTTACAGATGGAGTTTCAGGAGAGCCAGAGCTCTGACATAGAGAAAACCTGTTTCGAAAAACCACCCCACCTCCAAACAAAACAAAACAAAACAAAAAACTCCCAAGAAATTCATTAGTTTACTGAGTTAGACCTTTATGAGTGTTACTTTGGTTTGCCCCCAGTAATTAGACATTTGTCACTGTGTCCTCAAGAACAGAGCCACACAACACTCTCCACTCAGACTTGAGCACAGGAAATATGCAAGTGACCATGAAAAGATCATAAAATAGAAGACAAGAGAGAAAGAGAAATGAGAGGAATAAGGGTAAAGACAGGTTTCTAATGAAGGGGTTAGTATTTTAATATTCAGGTCATTTGAGCTATTTGCTTAAGCAGCAACTGACCTATAGACCTGAGGGGAGACCCAGGAATCGTGGACCTTCCACACTTTAAGAAATATTGGAAGAAGGAGAGCACAGAACTCTAAAGTGACACATAGCGAGGAATGGAGGTAAGCCACAGCTTTTCCACCACAAGATGCTAACTCTTATTTGGAGATTTTCCACGTAGTCAAAAATCTGCTTTTATGGGAGCTGGAGAGATGGCTCAGTGGTTAAGAGCATTGCCTGCTCTTCCAAAGGTCCTGAGTTCAATTCCCAGCAACCATATGGTGGCTCACAACCATCTGTAATGAGGTCTGTTACCCTCTTCTGGCCTGCAGGCATACACACAGATAGAATACTGTATACATAATAAATAAATAAATGTTTTAAAAAAATCTGCTTTTATTATGGTATATATAATAATTCATTATATTCACCTGTCTATAAAACCTCATAAAAGAAGGTTTTATATATAACATCAGTAAGTTGGAGAGATGGCTCAGCAGTTAAGAACACTTTGCTGTTCTTGCAGAGGACCCAGGCTTGGTTCCCAGCACCTACACAGTTGTGAGCAACCTTCTCTGACTCCAGTTCCAGGGGATCCAGTTCCCCCTTTTGGCTTCCACAGACACCAGGCACTAGTGAAGGACACATTACCACATACAATCAAACACTCATAAGCATAAAATAAAACATAGTACAGTAACCCAGATTAGAAATACAGCGTTTTTGCCACTGAGAGAGATCTGGCTGGTTTAGTTTTTCATAGGTTGACCTGACTTTGTTCACCTACTACCAACCGTGAGGCTGAAGGTGAGAACACTGGGTCCCCTGCACAGCTCCAAAGTGGTTTCAACACAGTAAGAGAAAATGCATTCACGGGCTGTGTGCTACAAGATGTTCCTGGCACAGCTCGCTTTCCTTAGCAGATTCTGGGCTCCAGAAAGAACTCATGGAGTAGGGTTGTGTCACAACTAAGCCTCGGAACAGTATGGTCTGTATCCTAAACTGACCACAATGAAGGAAAAAAACCAATGTGACTAGAGCAAACCTTTGCCTCAATTCTGTCGTTTCTGATTTCCAGGCCACTGTTGATTTCAGTTTTGGGGTGGGGTGTATTTTACTTCAAGAACCTATAGCAATGTCGTCTCGCTAGTACTTGACTTTGTCAGAAATGGTTACGTATTCATGGTGGATTTGAATGGGAGTGCAATTGTTTTAAGCCTCAGGAAATCGTCTCTGAATCTGAAGAAGTCAAGGCAGTAAGGATGAAACAGGTGGAAGGTCCAGCCTGGGATACACCAGCAAGTAGCAGGACAGCCAGGGGTAGGTAACAAGACCCTCTCTCCAACAACATTCAAAATTAACAGAATGCATTTTGTAGGGTAAGAAGATGAGTTTTGTCAGTGTGTCTGTTTTCTGGGATTTCCTTCAAGTACTAGTGCACACAAAGGGTTAAAGTCTGTGAAGTGATTACTGGATAGTAGCCAAAATATTGAGACATGCTGGGAATGAGTACCAAAGCACGGAGGCACTGCCTTAGGGTTCAAGGTGAGGAAGTGGGAGAGAGTGCAGAGGGACAGAAAGATAAGCCCCACACAAGTCCTGCAAAGCCCGAAAGAAGTCGTTCACGCCAGCTTAAAAACTGTCATTTCCAGAAACCCAATAAAGGAACGAGTGTACTGAGGAGCTGTTTAAACCTGTCCACACCCTAGGTGACTTCCCCACAAAACGGGCAAATCCTGGGCCAAAGTGACTGGTACGTCTCGCGTCTTTGGCTCCTCAAATCCCAGAGCACATGCCCACCGGACTTCACATCGGGCTGTTTGAGGAGTGGGCGCTGCGTGGACGCCGATCAAGTTTGGATCAGATTCACTCCGAATCGCCCGGCAGGGTCCGCCTGCAGGCTTCGCAAGGGACCGCCGGTGCGCCCCTCCAGCCTGTGTCCGGTCACGCCGCTCCGCCCCGCCCGTGCTGCCCGGCTCTCACACGCTGACTTGCGTGACTGACCCGGGCCGGGAGGACTGGAAGACCGCGCGGGAGGAGGGGGCGAGAGCACGGGCCCGCCCACTCCTCGCCGCCAGCCTCTCCTCCTCATTGGCCACAGGCCGGCGTCCATCACTCGCAGGTGGCGCTCTGATTGGCGAAAAGCGCACTTCTAGAACGAGGAGGGCAGAGTGACTCCGCGGGTCTCCCGCGGCTCTTTTTCTCCTCCCCCTGCTCAACGTCCACCCACCTCTCCCCACCCCCATCGCTTCCCCCGCCCGGTGCGCGACAGTGTCCTTAGAAGACTCATTGGGCCAGGGGCGAAGCCAGCCACCAGCGAGCCCCATCGCCATTGGTTGACGATCACGCCCGTCAAGGCGGCGCGCCCCGCCACTGGGCATCCTTGCTGCGCTCCCGCCCCGCCGCCTCCTCCCTCGCGACTCTCCCGGGCCCCCTACCCCGCCCGCCCCGCCGCTTCTTCCCGGTCCAGCTGGGCGGGGACTGCCCTAGGACTCTTTAAAGTCTGTGAGTCACTGCACAACCCATCAATCCAATTAAATGTCTTGAGCTAGCCGAGCGGGCGGTGCTCCCCGCCGCCGGCCGCCCCTGCTCTCGGCGCCCCGCTATCCATGGCTGGCTGGCTGTACTCCTCCCGGTGCGCCCTCCTCCCGCATCTCGCCAGCCACGGCAAGTTCCCCACAGCCAGCCTCTGCCCCCAGGCCGCCGCGGCATGGGCTAGACCCCGAGCCGCTTCTTGCCGTCTCCGGTCCAGCCCGTGCGCGGTCTCGCTCCTTTAGCCCTCCTCGCCCGTCCCCGCCGTTCCCCCGACAGTCAGTCCATCACCCGGTCGGCTTTCCTCCGCGGGGCAGCGGCGGAGTACCAGCGGGCTCGGTAGGAGCGGGCACCCCCATTCCGCTCCTCCTCCCGCTCCTCCGCGCTCTCACTCGTCGGGTTCCCGGTCCCACACCGAGGGACGCGCCGACCGACGCCCGCTCTCCGCGGCCGTACGACCCGCCTGGGAGCTGGACCCGGCGCCCACTTCTTCGCGGAAGGTGAGTATGGCGCGGGGTTTTGGGTGGGGTGGTCTAAGAGAAAAAAAAAATTGGCTGCTAGGCCACTTTTGGGAAGGGCAGGGATCAGGTTGTGGTTGGAGGTTCCCGGTCCGGCGTGGATTTGAGGAGGCGACTCCCTCCTTCCCTGGCTCGCTCTTTCCCCGCCCTTGACGCCCTCCTTCTCCTGTCTTGCTGTACATGTAGGTATTGCCAGACTTCCACCAGCGGGGCATTAAGCCGCTTGTAAAATAATTGGTGCTGGCATGCTTTCCGTCTTTTGAATGCCTAAGTGAGCAGTAATAGGCAGCGATGTGATCTGATAGACTGAGTGCCCTGCAAAAAGTGTAAAATGCCTAATGGGCATATTTTCCTCTAAATCAAAGTTAACTTTCATTCAAAGAACGCAAAGCAAAAGGTGTTTTTAATTTGAACGCATGGTGATAGAGGAGGAGAAGACTGGTTGCCAAGTGGCATTGCTTAGCTTTTATTTTGAAGCAATTTTGTGGGTTTTCTTCTGAAAAAAATGTGAATTCAGTATTGAAGGTTATGAAGTCTGAACCTGTTGGAAGAGAACAAGGTAAGAGAGGAATCCAGCATGGTGTGTCCACTTCGGGCTTCCTCCACCTTAGGGAGGCATTACAACACAGAACCTGTCACTCAGTCACTGGCTGCAGTGCAGAGCTGTATGGATGGAAAGAGTGGTTTAGGTTTTGTTTCTTTTTCTATACCTTTTGTATGCTTGACTGTTCTTTAAACAATGTTACTCTGCAGAATTTCCTCAATTTTAGATTTGGTTTCTCCATCTTATGCGCCTCCAAACTACAGGTACCCACACCTCTCTATGCTTCATAAGGATCTTCCCTTCTGGCTCTGTAATATTTATTTTGAGGTGAGAGATTGATAAGACATGGTTGCTCCGAACTGGATTCTGAGGTTGCTGTTTAGCCGTTAGTAGTTTTGAGCTGGTGTTGCCCCTTTAAATCGAGTTCTCTGTTAGTTGTCCACAAGATTTAACTTCGGCCAAACCAAACATGTTTTGAAATATTAAAACACAACATTGGCCTCTTAGTCGTTCATTTTCGACTTCTCTTTCAGACTAACCAGAATAAGTTGTTACTAAATTTAATTTTAAAGAATAGACTGTTCCTGTGCTGAAATCTGCCAAGTTGCTCCAGAAGATCTCTTTTTAGAGAGCAGAAATGTGGTTATGATCAGTCCAAAGTGATGAAGTCGAAAAGTGACTTAGATGTAGAAATGCTGTTTTAAAGACATGCTTGTCACCAGTTCCCAGGCCTTTCAGGAAGACTCACACAAAGCCTCTTTGGATTGTTTAATAAATTTACCTTGTGACTTTTTCATGAGGATGAAGCTGCCTAGCACCGGGGACCCTGCTGTCTGAATTTGGATTTTGCCACTCTCTCTCTCTCTCTCACTGGCTCTGTGACCTTGGACACATTTCAAACAATCTGGGCTGTAGTGGTTTTCTCCAGTTGTTTCTCCAGAAAGACTCCTCTTTAAAAGTTTTTTTCTCTCACCACGCGGGTGGTGGCGCACACTTTTAATCCCAGCACTCAGGAGACAGAGGCAGGAAGAGCTCTGTGAGTTCTAGCCTGGTCTGCAGAGCGAGTTCCAGGACAGGTTCCAAACCTACACAGAAAAAACTCTGTTTTGAAAAAACAAAACAAAAAGCAAAACAAAAAACAAAACAAAAAAAAAAAACAAAAACACCCCCCCCTCCAAAAATAGTTTTTTTTCTTTTAAGGATTAATAAGATGCTTACCATAGATACGTCATTGTGGGAAGATAGGTATCTGTGTAGTATTTAGGGACTGGGGAGATTGTTCACTTGGGAGTCTATATTTTTGAATTCAGATTCTCAGTACCTACAAAAAGGTGGTAGCCTTCCTGTAATCCCACTACTCAGAGCTGGAGACAGGGACTCTTGGGGCAAACTAGCAAGTTAGACTACCCAAATTGGCAAGCTCTAGGTTCAAGCAAGAGACCCTAGCTTCATAAAAGATGGACACTTGATGTCAGCCTTTGACCTCCACACGCATTGCATGTATTTTTGCACAGATACATGAATACACGCACCATACCCACAGGGCTGGGAGTGGCAAGTGGGGCTCCAGACAAGGCTGCTAGTGATCAGCAGGAGCCCATCTGTCAGGGAGTCTGAGGCGAAAGGATGACCTGAAACCAAGATGCAGACCATAGTGGAGCTTTTTCTGAAACAAACAAAACAACAGACAAAGAAACTAAAGCCCAAACAAAATGAAAAGAGAGTGTTCTTGACTGGGGTCCTATAGGCCCAAGTCTCAGTATGCTTTTGCTGTCTCTGTGCCCTGGGCCAAGTTAACGTTGGATATTTTCACCTATGAAATGGTAACAGTAGCATACTGTTATGAGGACAGAATGAATTAGCATGTGCAGAGATTTTGAATAGTGCTTGGTCCATCTTCCCGAGTTTAGCTCTCTTACGGTTCTTGTGTACAGATGACTTTAAAAAAAAGGAGGGTGTTTGGGAATCCAACCTCGAACCCTGCCTGTGTGAAGGCAGGAGCTCTACCACTGATTGGCATTCTTAGCCCCAGTGGTAAAATTTTTATAAAGCATCATTGCCGTTAAGCAGACTTTTATCGTATGCCTGATGTTTGAATTAGAGTTTATGTGAAACGTTTAAGAAGCTCAGTTTTTTAGAAGCCAGATATGGTGGCACATTCCTGTAAGCCTGTACTCCAGAAGCAGGGAAAGCCACAAATTTGAGGCCGTCTTGGTCTACATAGAAAGTTCTATGCCAGCCAGGACTTCATAACAAGACCTTGTCTCAAAAATGCCATCAGAAAGGCTAGGGAGATAACTCAGTTCATAAGTTGCTTGCCTTGTAAGCACAAGGACCCGAATTAGATCTCCAGGCCCCACATTGAAAAGCTGGATCTGGTGTTGTGGGCTTGCAATCCCAGCGCTGCGGAAGCTGCAACAGGCCACTGCTCCCTGACCAGCTAATTTAGCCGACTTGGCAGGTTCCAGCCCAGTGAGCGGCACTGTCTCAAAAACAAAGTAGACAGTGCCTAAGCAATGCTTGAGGGTGTCCTCTGGCTTCCATGTGTGGGTGATCGCATATGCACGTACCTGCACATGGGAACATGCATACTTATACTCAGAAGTGAAGGAGGGAGACTCAGTTATTGGGCAAGACATATTGTAATATACTTGTAACCCTGGCACTCAGGAAACTCAAGCAAAAAGACCAGAAATTAAAGGCTGACAGGGTTATATAGTGAGATATTGTTCTGAAAAATGGCTTTTAGCTCCCTGGATGAGTTGAGTTGTCCGCACTCTTTCTCTTCTTTTTTCTTTTTGAGAAAGGCTCTCACTCTAGTCCAGGCTAGCTTCAAGCCTGTTTGAGCCTCCTGAATGCTAGCATTACAAGTTCGAGGACCCATTGCATTTAAATTTGCAGAGTAGCTTGTACCCACCTCCATTATAAAATTGTTACAGAAATCACATGGCGGTTGTTGTCTGTGGCTTTTGCCTGTAAAACTAACAGTAGCATTTCACTGCTGAGTTCATTGCTGGTGCCTCACTTGGCATATAAAAAGTAAATAACTGTGGAATTAATTGAACAATGTTTTTTTCCAAATTGTTTATGAATGGTGGACTGTGCATGTTAAGTGTGGTACTGTAGACAACATTGTTTCTTGTTGAACTGGATTTTTACTTGGGTGTGGTGGCTCCTACCTTTAATATCGGCCCTCAGGAAAAAAAAGGAATTTTTACTTTTAGTGCTTTAAGAGTTAATGAAATTTATAATTTATCTTTACTAAGAGATTTTTAATCTGAAGATTAAGTTGAAATACTTTGAAAGAGCATGTCTTCTTTTGTTACCCGACATGTCCAGGTTTTAATCATAACCCTTTTTGACTTTTAAACTTTCTGTCACTAAGACGAATGCTGTTCTTCATTAATGTTAGCCATACAGAATAGATTTTGAAAGTCTCAAATGGTGACAGGATAGAATTCTCTGCTTCAGAATTACTAAGGAGAACGTATGAGCCTAGCATTGGAGGGTAAAATGGCATCACTTCCTCAAGGACTGAAGCTTTGTCTGCTCCGTTCAGGAGGAAAACTCTTCCTCTTGGACAGGCCTAATAATAACTAGCTGCCAAGTGGCGCCAGTGATAGTGTGGCCGGGGTTAAAATGGAGGCCCGTGCAATCAGTAAATGAAGCAGTCTTCAAACTTTCCCACGACTACACAATTGGGAAATATACTTTTTTTCTAAACGAGTGAATTTGATGGGGCCTGTGACCTACACTGTTTATAGAACTCTTTTGTTTTACTTGTCAATAAAACATAGTTTGGTTACTGTGCCCTCTGAAGTTATAAATGCATGAATTAAAAGAAGTATCTTGTTTAAAAAACCAGGAGTATGGCCAAGTTTTATAACATTGTTAAACCTTCTTGAGAGAATTACCTGGTTACAGTAACCAGGTAATTGTGTATACAATCCTTTGTTTAATCAAATCATACTACACTGTCTAGTTGACCATGTTGCATTTCCATTGACTAAAATAATCAAGTTTTAGAACACTTGTTCTCATGTGTAGCCCAGGCTGTGCCATGGGCCTCCTCTTGCTTCATTCAGCCTTTGAGGTCTTCGATTGCAGCCACGTATCCCACATCGTTCTGTTCATGGACTTTTTCCTTGAGATGGGGGCCTCAGAGCCCTAATTGGCCAGGAACTGTGTGGTCCAGGCTGGTCTGGAGCCCTTAACAATTTTCCTACCTCAGTCTCCTGAGTGCTGGGATTACAGGTGTGAGCCACTACACCCAGTTAATCAGAACAAAACTTTACGAAAGTGTTTATAAGGCCGATGAGGCGGCTCATGGAGTAAGGGCTCTGATCAGTTACATCTCTGGGACCCACATGGTAGAAGGAGAGAAGGGATCCTCAAAGATGGTCCTCATGCACACACTCACTGAATAAATGAGATAAAA